GCATAAAAATTCAAAGTTTTTCAAATCTCGGTTTGGGGCAACATATGTCCCCTACAGTGCTTCAGACGCACCAAATCAGGATAAGATTTTTTCTTAACCCATAGTACAAAACACTTCTATACTATATATAGATTGAGCTTCTGATGCACCAAAATTAAATCAGACCCTAAAAAATCACTAAAGACTCTATTCAACAATTTCTATTACTAAAAATAAAGGACTCTTATAGAGTCCAAAATTACAATTAGTAACAAAACCTTGAATTTCGATTCGGATCGAAAAAACTAGTTTCATAATATGGTTGATAATTGTTTGTGACGAAATAATTCTGTTGCAATAAATACAAATGTCACCAACGTAACAATTTCATTGAACGCATATATACAAATAAAAGAAAGTACATAATTTTTTCCAGATATTTTGGTATACAGTAAATTATATATATATATATAGAAAGATATGAAATAAAATATTTTAATTTTGAAAAATTCCGATAAATATTAAATCATCATTTGTTGAAACAGATTGAAACATGTGTATCTGGCGTGGCAATAATGATAAAAGACACGATTAACTTTCATTGCCATTGGAGGTCTCTCGCACAGCTTCCCATATGATTGTATCTGAGAGAGGCACTGAAAGCGGTCGTATAATACTTATGCGAGCAAAGTGCGGCGTGCCGGTTATAATATCGCGTGTATATTTAAAAACAGAAGCATTAATAAATATATGTACGGGCAAGAGAGAAGTTATGCAGATCGCGGTAAGGAATTATAATATGCAGACGATATATAGGTAACCGGTATATATATACATATATATATCGCTCATTAGAATCTGAGCATTGTATAATCGAGCCAAGTTGCAGTAACATTGCATTACTTTTGCGGCAGGTGGTATAGCCACGATTACCTCTTTTAGTATTAAGAGATCCTACACAATTGATACCACACATTTTCGTAATCGATTATTTCATATTTCCTTTCCGAAAAATTATCACTCTCTACACATTATAAAAATATATATATATACAATATAATATAAGACTTGTTTATTTTCCTTTTACAATTACACAATATTATATTTATAATCTGAACGTGTTAAGATAATCAGGATAACTGTTACGGTTTATAATTTTCTGTCCTCTTTACGCAGTGCATAAAATTTCTGCTCAAAATTTTTATTATATATACAGAATCGTTGATTCGAAATAATAATTACGTTATAAAGGAAATTACTTGCAAAATTTTAATGAATTGTATATATATACACATTGTAAAAATATTAGTCCATCTTCATTGTAAAAAGTTATTCTTAATTTAGAGAAAAGACGTCTTAGAGCAAAATTAATATTTATTTGCTTAAAATAAATTTTATTTGTTACAAATTTTATTTGCGGTAAATAATATAGTATATATATGCATAAATTTATAGAAATGATTAACAAATTATTATTTATCAGTATAGTGAAACAAGTTTAAAAAATCTTAATGTTTCAGGTGTTATGATGGAGAGCAAAATTTTCAAAACAGCTGTGATAATGGTGAGTCGTTTTAATTATTTTAATTATATTAAATTATTAATTAGCCGAATTTTAATTTGAACAAATTTTTAATTGATAGAATTTTTAAGACACCGAATTTATACGTATTTGTCAGAAATTGCAACTGGTCGAACAAACAGTATAGACCGACAGATTTCGGTAATTCGCAATTTCCAAAAATGAAAATTCGGCGTTTTAAAAATTCTGTTGATTAAAAATTTGTACATAAATTAAAATTCAGTGAATTGGAATTTCTATCATTTAAAAATTCGAATCACGCATAAAATTTAATTATTCTCTTATATAAGTTAAAAAAATAATTTTTTTATTTACACAATCGAATTATGTTAAGAAAAATGGACGAAATACCATTTAATTGACTTAAATAATAGGTAATTATTTAATACAAATAAATATTTATTTGATAATAGTCAAGAAAAAGATTGACAAATGAAAATTCGTCGTTTTAAAAATTATATGTCAATTAAAAAATCGTACATAAATTTAATTCCAGTGAATTTGAATAATTCATTTAAAAATTCGAATCACATGTAAAATTCGATTGAATGAGAATTTTCTGTTAAATCAAAATATTCTTTTAAATAAAAAGGCGGACTGAAAAAAAATTTATTTATTTGATAATAGTCGCAAGTAATCGAGTATTTGAATCAAATAAATTTTTTTCACTGCGTAAAATAAAAATTCTATGAAACAAAAGTCCGTAGCTAAACATTATGTTAAAAATTAGTATAAAAAGAACTTCTTGCTAATTCAAAAATTGAAAATTCAGTCTAATTTCTAATAAAATTCTTTAAAATAATTCTGATTAATGATTTCTGTGGGATAATCATATAATATAAATCCATTATTAATATTTAATTAGTGAAAAATAACTAAAATTTTAATTTGAATAATTTTCACACTATATAAGAAAAGAATTTTTTCTTAATAATGTTGTGTGTGCATGTATAGAGAAGAGGCCGCCCGGCGAACCGGCCATAACAACAAAAACAAGAAGCAAGAATCTGTCTTTATTCCTCTCTTTTTCTGCGCTCTGTGTGTGTGTGTGTATGTGTTGGGCCCCCATAAACCAAGCCCCGACCTATCCCTCCGTCCTCGACATTCCCTTGGGCCGAAAACGCGCAAGTCCCATGGATCGTGGGTCAGTGGTCTCAGCTCTCTCCCCTCTCCTGGACCACTCCTCACCTGGGCCTTAGGCCCCCCCTTCTCCCTCTCTACTCACTTCTCTTCTTTTCGACCTGTTCTCTCTCCGCCATCTTATGGTTTCCCTTAAGATGCAAGAGAAGAAATAAGAAAAGAAGAAGAATAAGAGGAGAACCGCACAGATGGCCCGCGAGCCTTCCAGAAGATTGAACCAATGAGGCGAACTCGTCTCTGTAACATGAGATGAAAAACAAGATGGATTTTTCTAGACACACACACGCTCTTTTATGCGGACAGTTTTTTTTTAATTTGAGCCAAATTACCTTTTTCCCTTGCGAGCTCATTTATTTTCATAGAATATAAATAAAATTAAAAAACTTCGAAATATTTCAATAAAACGATAATTTAATTTTTAAAAATATAATTAATTAATTATAATTTTGATTTTAAATTAAAGGAAAAATTTAGTTTCTGAGAGAAAAGATAATTATTTAAATTACCTGGAGAAGTGTACACTGAAAAAATTAATTATTCTCTAATAATTTTAATTTAAAAAAAGATTATTTTTATTTACACAATCGAATTATGTTCAGAAAAATGTATACCAAATACTGTACTTAATTGGCTGAAATAATAATTATTTAATACAAATAAATATTTATTTGATAATAGGTAATTACTTTTTATTCGAATAAATTTTTATTGAACTAAATTTTTATTTGGACAAATTTTCAATTTATATTTTGCATTTAATAGAATTTTTATGTAATCGAAGTTGTATAAATGGCCTAATAAACATAACCTACAAAAAGGATTTTGGTGCAATTTTTAAGAATATGCGACCAATCAGAAATTATCAAAAGAAATGTGATTGGTCAATTTTTAAAATCATGTCGAAATCTTTTTGTAGGTTATATGTTTCTTCGGACATTATTTAATTTTATTATTCGATCAAATGAAAATTGGTCACTTTTTGAGAATTGTTTTAAATGAAAATTCGGACAAATGACGATTCGGTAAATTAGACATTTTACGCGGCGTTTAAAAATTTAAATCTCATAAAAATTCTGTTGAATGAAAATGTTTTACTAAATTAAAATACTGCTCTACATTAAAATTCTTTGAAATTAAAATTCACCTACATATTAAAATTGATTCAAATTAAAATTTGCCACTAAATTAGAAATGCTTTCAAATAAAAAGTTTTGGGTATATGAAGGTCAAAGAAATATTTTCTTTAAGGGGTTAAACCACTCTAGAGCGTCAAAAAAAGGCCTAACTTTAGAAATTTTTTTCAAGAAAAGTTTAAATGTACTAAAAAATATGTTTACATATCTTTATTAGGTACACTTTAAAGAGAAAAAAAATATACTTCATTAATTATTTTTTTTTAAAATATCAAATTTACAGGTACGTGATAGGAACTCTTTCTGAGAGGAATCACGTCGCGGCCGGAAAGATTTTAGCTCCAATTTTCATCCTAGAACAAAAAACAAATTTCTTTCTATTTTTACATCTTAAAAGCTAGAGAAAGACGTATAGGGGATTTTTTTTCAATTGATTTTTGCAAAAATGGCGAACATTTTAAGGAAAAACCGAGTTTTTTACTTAAAAAATTGACACTAATTTGTTTATAACAAAAAAAATATGCAACATAAAAAAAATCCGTACGTCTTTCTCTAGATAATGTTATTGAGAAGCTACAATTTAATTTTTAAGTAAATCGATTGAGATTTGTAAAAGTCATGTTTCCGGCCAGCACAAAAAATGTAGTTTTGAGAAAAACGAGTTAAAAGTTTTACTTACGACTTTTTGGATATACCTTCAATCTGCAATGCCTGCGCCATATAATTGACCTTCCAAATTAAAAAGTGTTTCGACTTATAATTGATATTGTTTCTTATTCTATACACCCTTAGGCACCTTTTAAAGCAAAAAAATTTTTTTTGATTTTTTGAAAATTCTAGAGTGGTTTAACCCCTTAAAAAGAAAAATTTTTTATTCTTTATTGTGAAAATTCTATAAATAAATTTTTGTTGGAAATTGACAAAATATATCCTTAAATTCTAAATAATTGTTTTTTAAAAACAAATAAATTTTTCTTTAAATAAATAAAATTGCTTATATTTTTTTAACAAATTATACATTAAATTTTAAAAATGAAAAAAGTGGCGTTAATTTAAAATAATAAAAAATTGATTTTGGTATAGATTAATTGAGAAAAAAAATTGAGACTTCTTTTTTTTTAAAAAAAAAGGGAGGGGAGAAGTACCTAATAAAAAGCCTCTAAAAAGTAATGACATTTTAAGGTGTACATATAGGAATATGGAGGCTTGATGTATAGAGAAGGCATAAAATAAGAAAAGAATGGCCCGCGAGAGGTACAGTGAACCGATGAGGAGAAGAGGTTCGTTGATTGCAAATGGAGAGTGCGAGAGAGAGGGAAAGAGTTGGTGGATGAGGAGGAGGAGGAGGTATATGAAGGCTTTCGGCGGTTAGTGGAGTGACTGAGCGAGTGAGTATTTTCGCTGGCCTTGACGCAGCGTCGGAGGGCGATGCACCTCTCTTTGAAACACACTCTGAAAACCGGGAACGTATATATATATATATATATATTATGCATATATATATACATAGAAACCCTCTGTGTTGTATACGCACACTTATACTTACTAAAAAGTGGATGCCAGTCCTCACATCCACGACAATAATTTCAAGCTAACACAAGCATAGCACACGCGAGCATGCGTGCACGCACTGCAAAGAGAGAGAAAGAGAGAGAAAGAGAGGCCCGGTCCAACTTGCGAACACTCGACTTGCTCGACACTGACCTCACCCTACTGCCATGCCATCCCCTCTTCGTACACTTCCTGCCAAAAGTCCGCCAAGAATTCAAACCTCCAAGACGAGAGAGATACACTCCCTGCGACGTGACTTTCCTTACGCTCTTCATTTTAGAGGTCATTGTTACAGGTGCTTCTGTTGCGATATTCCTCAGTGGAGATCATCATTTTATTAGACGTTTTTATTGTTCATTCATTAGCATTATATGCCAGAGAAGCTAAAATTTCACCGGGAAAATTGTTAAATTAATGTCATATTTTCATATAAAGATGCTACCGAGGAAAAATTTCCCTTTTTTTATTTTTGATTATTCCATAAAAATCATTAGTTCGAATTTTCAACAGGGAAAAAAGTTTCCATCTAAAACAACGATACGTTTCACTAAAACAGCAAAAGTTTTATCGCTATTCTAAAGAAACAAATATTATACTGTTCCAGAAAAAGATTTTTTTCCGAGAAGAATTTTGTTAGATAAACGCTCAAAAAAAAAAAAGATTTCATTAAAACAAAGAAATCGTTTTCTTAACCCTCTAATGCCGAGGGTGTTTAGAAGTTATCATAAAATTTTTTCAAGGCTTTACTTTATCTAATTTATGCTTCGGATTTGGAGGAAAATTGTTGAAATTGAAAAAAATGGTAAATTCACTGTTTTTTGTTATTGGACTTGAAAATACCATCAGGACTTTATATATATTATATATAAATTATTTAAAATAAAATCAAACATAAGTTATTGAACACAAATTTAATTTGAAATATTATCTATATAAAATATATGTAATTATTTTACCATAAAAACTATTAATATACTTACTTTCTTTTAAAAAATTATCGCATCAAACTTGAACAATTCACTTAATCTTGAAATTTATTGACAATTACACTGAGAAAAAAAATTTAGTGTTTGCAAGAAAATTGTTTGGTTAGGCAATTTTGGTTTTTGTAACCAAATTTTGGTTGGCTGAAACAAAGTCGTAGGGTTATCTCAACCAAACATTTGGTTAGGTCAACAAAATTATTTGGTTGAACATTTTTAAATTTCAACCAAAATTTAGTTACGACAACAAAATAATTTGGTTAACACAATAACAAATTAGTTTGGTCTAAGAAACCAAATCCAGTGGTCAGAGCTCCTGACCTTCAGTCTTAAAACAGAGGTTCGATCCCAGACGGAGGTGAGATTTTTTAAAGTCCATAAATATTTCAATTGGATAAATATAAATTCAATGTTAAATTGATAAATAAATAAAGAAATAAATAAATAAGATAAAAAGAAAAGAGATAATGTAGAATAAAATTTTTAATTATACAAAAAAAAATGTTGGTTTCATCAACCAAATATTTTTGTTGACCTAACAAAAAAAATTTGGTTGAGCTAACCAAACATTTTTGTTATGACAACAAAAAACACTCAACCTAATTTTTTGGTTGACTCAAACAAATATATAGTTTGGTTGCGCTTAAATACCAACAAAATTTTTTTGTTGGCCCAACCAAATTTTGGTTACTCTGACTAAACATTTTTCTCAGTGTATAATATTTTTAATGTTTAAACAATTGAATAACGATTTTCGATGGTACAGAAACACTCTTCTTTACCTACTGAAACCTACTGTAAATATTAGATATTTGTTTCTGCAGCTCAATTGTTAAAAAAAATTGTTAAATCTATGGGACGCCCAAGTCCCACCCGTACCTAGAGGGTATACTTAAAATCACTTTTTGAATAAATGATGAAATTTCTTTGAATTAAAGAAATTTTTTCTTCGAATTTTAATTCTAATCTAATATACAATGAATTTTAAAAGTTTCGAAATTTTAAATATCTGAATTTCCAATTCAACGAATCGAATTTTTATTTGCATTAATATTTTGTTATTTAGGTAGAATTTTTAAAACATCGAATTTCTATTTGTCCGAAATTGCAAGTGTCTGAATAAACATAACCTACAAAAAGGATTTCGGCGCAATTTTTAAAAACGACCAATGAGAATTACAAAGAACATCGTGATTGGTCGAATTTGATAAAAATCGCGCCAAAATTCGTTTTGTAGGTTATGTTTATTCGGAAACTTGCAGTTTCGGACAAATGGAAATTCGATGTTTTAAGAATTCTACCTAAATAACAATTAATGTTAATAAAAATTCGAAAAAATGAAGATTCGGTAAATTGAAAATTCAAATATTTAAAAAATCGAATATAAGATTAAATTTGACTGAATGAGAATTCTGGTAAATTTAAATTCAGTTAAATTAGAATTCTTTGAATAAAAATTTGTATAAAGAGAAATTTTCTAAAATAAATTTGCCAAATAAAAATTCGTTACATAAAAAATTCGATAAGCTAATTATTGTTGAAAAAAATAAAAAAAATCAATTTTCATTTAACATAGCAATTTAAATAAATTTTCATTAGGTAGAATTTCAATAGATAGAATTTTTTTTTTAGTCCAATTTTGTCAAATTCATTAAAATTTGGGAAAAATAAAATATTTTTGTTAAAAAATAAAAATTGAAACTTGATACTGAGAAAATTTTTGGCGTTGAATGTACTTGAGTGTACCATGGCCGTTCTCACCGAAATGGTTCCGAGTTATACTATGATAGAGGAGGGCCACACTGAGTGAGTAGATTCTTTTCTATTGGCTAAAGCGTCACTGAATGGCGACCTAAATAAGAGGAGATATTTTTTAGAAGCCATTGTAATGAGTTAGCTGAATGTATTGTTTAGAAAATTAAACTTGTGCAATATCTATATATATATAGTCGTTAAAAAGATATTTTTGATGAACGCGTGAATGCAATTTATATTTATTCTTAAATTATTATTATTCGAAAAAAATTACAAATAAACACTTTATTTATTTACTTTTTTTTTTTACTTTCATATTTTTTACTTGGAACTATTTAAATTAATGTAACTTTTTTATTTCTCAAAGAAATTTTTTATTTAATTCAAATAAATATTTCTTTGAAGCTATATATCAATTACATTAAAAAAAATTGACATAATCTACAAATTTTATCGTAGTCTCAATAATTTTTAATCTTTATCCAAAATAGAAATTTTTAAAGTTTTAAAATGGCAAAAATATAATTATTGGCAACTGTAAATTTTTCCGGATTCCACATTCGTATTCCGGATTATAATTTTCATATTCCGGATTCCACTTTTCGTATTCAGGATTCCACATTCCATCAACTTGATTTTTCAAGATTTAATAATATTAATTTTCGTTATAATTTTGTTTGTTTGTTGTGGGATACGGAATATGGAAAGTGGAATTCGGAATGTGGAATCCAGAATACGGAATGTGGAATCCGGAATACGGAATGTGGAATCCGGAAAAAGTTACGTCATCGACCCCCAGGAATCGAAAATTCGGATAATAGAAATTTCAAATGTTTTTATTTAAAATAAAACAATAGAACATGTTAAACTACATATATATTTAACTTAATATAATATTTTGAATGTACATAAATATTTATATTAAATTAAATAAATATTTAATAATAATTAATATATATATATGAATATAAACGATTATTTAAGATTTCTTTGAAATAAATTTTGTTATTTTGCTTTGGAAAATTGAATCTATTCGTTTTTTTAGCAAAAAATTTGAATGATAAAATTTTAAAAATGAAAAAAATATAAAAATAAATCTTATTATGATTCGGAAAGATAAAAAAAAGTTTGAATATAACGTTTTACGGTTCGGATAATCGAGGTTCCAACTCTATTCGTTAAAATTTGCTTAAACTAAAAGTTAATTAAAACAAAAAAAAAATATGAAAAAAATACAATTTTTTTATAATTAACTAATAATTTTATAAATTAAATATTTGAGAAGAAAAAAAAAGTTATTCTCGATAAATAAATTATTTTTTTTTTCGGTAGCAGTTGTAGAGTCTATACATATATAGTAAAAACTAGGTGTCCTCGTGCTTCTAAACGGAAATGCAAATATGAAACTATTGGTGAGATATTATATGTACATAAGTTCGTACGGTATATTATTTATTTATCGCTGCCTACCTACTGCACCAGTTACAAGTGATATTTCATGACTATTCGAATAAGTTGACTTTGAAGGTGCAATACGGGTTGGGTCTAAGTTTGACGAACGTCCGCAATAATGCGGGTGGATCTCTCTCTCTCTCTCTCTCTTTTTTTTACGCGATTCGCAACTTTGGCCAATCTAAAAAGAAAAAAAAAAAAGAAAGAAGGGAACAAACTTATAGGCGAGAATACCAGCTGGAAATTGCCATAAAACAATTTACAAAGCGCTAAGCTGAACGCCTTTAAATCGAGCCCAACGCCTGACTAGTGCCGTTGCAAATAGCGTGTATATAACTAGCGGACAACGACGGGCGAGAGTCATGGCGCAACTATACGACCCACTAAAACTTCTTCGTTGCATAATGCGCGCCTGACGTTCAACGTTTATGCCTACGCTTCACTGATCCACTATATGCTAAACCATCTGCTTTGCAAATTTTCAATTTTCAGGAAGTTCTAAATCCGCCGCTGATAAAAAAAAAAATATATATAGTATACGTGTCCTAATATGGGACCCCTATCTTGCAATGGCCATAACTTTTTTTTTTCTTTCAAAAGATAAGATATCATTTAACGCTTCTGTCAAACAAAACTGACGGTTCACGTTAGTCGTTAACTGTATTATATTTTTTTTCCACTTAAATATGCCATATATGTGACGCTCCGCGACAAAAATTAACTAAGCTCCCAAAATTTTTATAGGTTATAGTTTATTACCTTAATAAAAAGTTCTATTTTAATTAGACAAAGTAAAAAATAGATTTTATTGAATATTGTAGATGTGATAAAGACATCAATTATTTATATAAAGAGTTGCCCCTCTTTATGTATTTTCACTTCAAAAATTAAAAAAATAACCTTAAAATTTTAGGAGCTTAGGTACCTTTTTAATTTTTAATTCACCAAATCTGAATTTTTATTTTCACAAAGTAGAATTTTTCAAAAATACGCACAGAAAATTAAAAGACATTATAAAATAAGCTGCAACGCTTATTATTTTAATCCAATTTTGCTTATTTTAATGCCTTTTAATTTTCTGTGGCAATAAATCTTCATTTGTCCGCAATTGTAAATGACCAAATAAACATAATCTACAAAAAAGATTTTGGCGTCTTTTTTAAAATTCGACCAATCAAAAATTACTAAGAAAATTGTAATTTGTCGAATTTTAAAAAACCCGCCAAAATCCTGTTTGTATATAGGTTATGTTTATTCGGTCATTTAAAATTTCGGACAAATGAAGATTTATCGTTTGAAGAATTCTAATTTGTGCAAATAAAAATTCAGATTTGGTGAATTAGAAATTCAGATATTTAAAAATTCCAATCTCTTAAAATTTAACGTATTGGATAAGAATTATGATAAATTAAAATTCGGAGAAACTAGAATTATGCTATAAATAAAATGTTGGACAATAAGAATATTTGTAAAATAAAAATTTCTGACAGAATAAAAATTCGGCGTCAAGAAGTGACCACTCAAAAAAAAAAAATTTTATAAAATAATGGCGCTAAATTTAAAAATTGTTAAATTAAATTTTATTTTGTCTGAATTTTAATTTATTCGAATTTTTAATTGATGGCATTTTTAAGACGCCGAATCTTTATTTGTCCGAAATAAAAAATGGCCGAACAAACAATGGACAAAAATGTTTCAGTCATTTGCACAGAAAATTAAAAGGAATTAAAACAAGCTGCAACGCTTATTATTTTAATCCAATTTTGCTTATTTTAATACCAAAATGGATTAAAATAAGCAAAATTGGATTAAAATAATAAGGCGTTGCAGCTTATTTTAATGCCTTTTAATTTTCTGTGGCAATAAATCTTCATTTGTCCGCAATTGTAAATTACCAAATAAGCATAATCTACAAAAAAGATTTTGACGTGTTTTTTAAAATTCGATCAATCAAAAATTACTAAGAAAATCGTAATTTGTCGAATTTTAAAAAACCCGCCAAAATCCTGTTTGTATATATAGGTTATGTTTATTCGGTCATTTACAATTTCGGACAAATGAAGATTATTATCGTTTGAAGAATTCTAATTTGTGCAAATAAAAATTCAGATTTAGTGAATTAGAAATTCAGATATTTAAAAATTCGAATCTCTTAAAATTTAGCGTATTGGATATAAGAATTATGATAAACTAAAATTCGGTAAAACTAGAATTATGCTATAAATAAAATGTTGGACAAAGAGAATATTTGTAAAAATAAAAATTTCTGCCAGAACAAAAATTCGGCGTCAAGAAGTGACATAACCACAAAAATTTTTTTTTTTTAAATAATGGCGCTAAATTTAAAAATTGATTAAATTTTATTTTGTCTGAATTTTAATTTATTCGAATTTTTAATTGATATGGCATTTTTAAGACGCCGAATTTTCATTTGTCCGAAATAATAAATGTCCGAACAAACAAAAGACAGAAATATTTCGGTCATTTGCAATTTCGGATAAATGAAAATTCGGCGTTTTATAAATTCTCTCAATTGAAAATTTCTACATATAAATTTGAATCCAGTGAATTTGAATAAGTCATTCAAAAATTCGAATCACATAAAATTCAATTTAATGAGAATTCTGTTGAATTAAAAAAATTTGTTTTTCAAAACCTTTACCAAAACTGGTTTTATATTTTTTATGTTTGAAAAAGAATTTTAAAAAAATCCAAATTGAAAAATAATTTCTCTGGCGTTTATAATTATTTTTATATATATATATATATATATATATATATATATATATATATATATATATATATATATATATATATATATATATATATATATATCTAAAAATAAAGAATTATTTTCAAGACAACAATGTTAATTGCAGATTAATACAATTATTTTTAAAATTCAGGTTTGTCGACAAAGTTGCAAAATCAAGTAGCGCTCGAAGCTATTTACGTAAGATACATTTTCTGATAAATATATAATCAGTAAAATGCTAATCTCAATAATGCATCTCCCATATAGTGGTTATATCAAGAGTCAAAGTTATAAGATTTATGTTTAATTATTTCTGTTAGCTGGTAAAATATATATATATATATATAAAAAAAAGGATTCGAGAAATACGGTAATTCTTCTCAAGGAAGTAAGACGAGAATTAATTTTTCAGTATAGAGAGCCAATGCTAATTATTCACTTGAGTTCCCTTCTATCTCAAATTAATTAGCCTCAACTAAATTCAGCCAAGGTTAACGGGTTAGATTACAGTATATTCATTGAACTATACCTCACGAGAGTGTGAAACGGGTACGAATAGCACAAAAAAATTGCATATTCATATTATTTCTAGAAAACATTTTTGTATAATTTTTTTTTCCCGCGAGGGATTTGTGTATATGGATGTAAATATAGTTTTCAAGTGACATTATTTTATTTGTCAAAAAAAAAAAAAATTCTTTTAAACTTTTTATGTTGAAATTCAATTTTTTAATTAATTATTAAATAATTTATAGAGAAAATTTTTTAATTTGGAATGTTAATTACAATACTTTATAAAAAACAATTTTTTAAATTTCTATTACCTATTTCTTTATTTTTACTTATTTGTAATTATTTAATTAATTTATTAACAATTTGAAAAAATGGAT